ATCAGGAAAGAATAAGGAAAGAAAATACAGTGACTATAAAGAGGCTAGTAAAAAAAAAATTAGCACAAATATGAGAAGCTCAACCGGTTTTCATTTCTCTTTCGTCACTGCTCTGTCGAGGGCTGAAAAATATGCTCAGTGAATAAAATAGAAAAAAATAACAAAAGACAGGATATTATAAATATTAAATATATAGTCATCAAAGTTTGATAATATCCAGACCTAAAAGTCACTCCTACTGCTTAGAGTGGGATGGCTTGAAGGGCCTAATATATATATATATATATATATATATATATATATATATATATATATATACAAAAGAAATCATCACTCAGCAATATTAATGCTATTATTGGCGATATCACATCGCTATTAGAATATAATATGCATTAAAATACTGTTAATCCATAGAATGATGTGATCCTCATATGGATTAACAGTATTTTAATGCATGCATTATATTCTACTAGCGATGTGATATCGCCAATAATAGCATTAATATTGCTGTTTGATTCTATGCGTGATTCTTTATTTGTATATAAATTATATGCTGCCTAATGTTTTATGTTTTATATATTATATATATATATATATATATATATATATATATATATATATATATAATTGAGTTCACCTCATGCAAGGCAGTAAAGTTACTAAGATACAAGTGATTACTAGGTGCGTAAAAATTAGAAGCAGAAACATTACCAATTGTTGTAGCATATCTACGGACGATAATGGGTATGTCCCCATTCACATGAATACAGTAGTAAATACTGTATGTTGGTCTGCAGTTGGAGATTCGTCTCCAGCTGTGCTGGGTAAATTCTCTGCTTCCGGGCAGAGAGGATCCTCAGATGTGACTATGTCGAAGGGCAGAGTCTCGTCTCGGGAAACAGCTACCCGACCCCGTTTTATACAGGGTCTACGGGGAAATTTTGACCGACCCTACGGTTGGTAGATATCCCGCAGTTGGAGATTCATTATGGAATTCATTTGACACACTTCTAGCAGCTGACGACATCTACGCGCCGCTGACGGTTGTTTGTCTGATAGAAGACCTTTGCGAAGTGGGATTCTTGACCAATTCGTTAATTAGAGCTACTCGTAGTTTGCCGACTACAGAGTCGAAAAATTGAAATAATCTGTAACTCATGTAAAGCAATGATCGAGTTTGAAAAGCTGGTAGCAAAACCGGCTGTTTCAAACGAACTGCTCGATTTGAGTAAAATTCCAGATTGGTATTGTCTACCTCTTGGAGAAATTTGCTCGCTTTTAAAGCGGGGGAGACTGCTATCAGTATGGAAGTGGCTTGATAATGAATTAGAAATGTCTCCCCACCCAAAATTAATGCTCACCGTTTCGTATGTTTGCTCGACCTTTTACAGGATTCTGAACTATTACCGCCCTTTTTTGATAGGTGGAAAATATTCTGCATAGAAACCATTCCTTGTCCCAGGATATAGTAGAATAATCAGTCAGTTATGTGCCATGCGTGATACATACTTAGGTGATCATGTATCTTTCGATACATGACTGACGAGGCAGATTTTTTTTCCCGCAGTAGGTTGCCATTTTTTTCTGCGGTAGACCAGTTATCATCCGTGGCCATAGAACCCGGTCTGTCCTGGGTGGAGAAGAAAGGGATTCATACCTTTCCCAAGGGAAATTGTCGTAAACCTTATAATAGTAGTAAACCAATTTCTCCAGTATTGTTGATCGTTCAAGTGTGTGCATGGTCGAATGGTTAGGGCGTTAGCGTTCCGACCACGAGACCAGGATTCGAATCTCACTGAGGTCGATTTGAGGTGGTATCTTGATATCGGCCTGGGAAGAGAAGTGCCTGAAAACCATACCGTATTAGGTTTGATAAGCATCAATTGACGTCACTTGACACGCCCCCGTATCATAATCCATTCGAGTCCTATCAGATACCCCTCGACAAGTCGTATCAGATACCCCTCGACAAGTCGTATCAGATACACACAAAGTCATATACTTAGTCCTATTGTATTCTATTCGCTATTTTCTATATTTGTACCAGTGTAATTGCATTTTCATTATTAGGTTGAAGCAAAATGTATCATCCTAGCCAGTCAGTTAGTTATGTGCCATAAGCGTGATACAGGCTTGGGCGATCATGTTTCTTTCGATTCATAACTGACTAGGCAGAGGTTTTCCCGCGGTATGTTGCCATTTTTTTTGTTGTTTTTTGTTGTAGACTGGTTGCCAACGAAGAATAAAGAACCCAGACTGTCCTGCTATTTAATCCATAGCTGGGAGGAGAAGAGATGGATTCATAACGATTTGCACGTAAGTCAATGTAACGAACTCGACAGTGATTCGAACACGGCTCTCCAAGATCTCATTCCGAGAAAATATCCATGACACCACAACACACATTCTAAAGAACGTCCAAACTAACCTTTCCTTAAATATATAAGAAAGCTTGACGAAAAAAAAAAGGCTTTTACATGTGCAATGCAAAAGGAAGCAGATTAAGAAAGATAAATCTTCACAACTCATCTCAAACGGTGTACTTCCTGGGGAAAAAAAGGCAATGGCGACCATAGTGGCGGGATCGCTGGTGTATTATTCATTTAGATTTTGTTTAAAATGCAAAATGCTTTCATGGGGAAAAAACCTTCTTTAAGGAAAACCAGATTCAAGAATTCGTCGAAAACGTCACATCAAAACCTGAGAATATTTACTCGACAGGTATGGAAGAGCTGCCTGGTAACAAGTCACTGCAAATAATGGTTAATATAAAATTGAATAAAATGTAATTGTACTTTATTGAAAAAATAAACAAAAAAACGAAACTGATAAACAACAGCTGGGTTTATTCCTGACTTAACCTAATACGAGGTCTGATCAAAAAGTATTTGAACTGTTGCTATAGTAACGGAGCTAAACTGAAGCCCCATTGACACAGATTGACTTTAAATGCTGTCACACTAACTTATAAGGTTCTCGCTCGTTTCCGTTGTTTATAGCAGTGCTTGGAAAGAAAGTATGTAGATTGTGGCCGTCTCGTCTCACCACAGAGGTTTTATCAATGGCCATGGCTTCTGCAGCAGTTTTGAGGTAAACACAACATTCCCCAGGACAGACAACCATCATTTTCCCCCAGATTTCGCCCCTTGACACTTTTTACTCTTTCCAAAAATTCAAATCCCATTTGAAAAGAACAAAATTTCCTGACGGTCGATGACATCCAAGAGAATACGATGAGCCAAATGCTGGCTATCCTCACAAAAAGGAGTTTCAGGAATGCTTCCATCAAGTTAGATGAAGTGCACGACTCAAGAATAGGACGACTTCGAAAAAGATTAATTGCTGAATTGATACGTGTTGTAGTTTTATTTTTATAACACCAGTCCCGATAGATTTTTGATCAGATTCCATACATTTATATTTATATTCATTTATTTATAACACCTTGAAAAGAAATATAATCTTCCCAAGAATGAATCCAACTTTTTTTTAACAAAAACGTATCCTACCTACAGTAATAGTGGCTAAGTCTTCTTTAAATACTCCTCCTGGTAATTTACACACTTCGCAGGGTTCCCACTACTTTTCAAAACAGCATGGCCATCAATCAGATACCTCGTCGCTTACTGTTTAACCTCGACCACAATTTGATTATTTTTCCTTTCCACGGCGCGCTTAGCTTTGAAAAAGATAGATATCACAAGAAGTAACTTGTCTGTCATTTTTTAATAAAAAATGTATTAGGAAATCATTACTGCCAAAATATACAACTATATATATATATATATATATATATATATATATATAAGTGGACATACAAGTCTACACACAGAGACGACAGTCTGTTTCATGCTCAACGCTATCAAGCCTGACGATTGGGTTTAGTATGAAACAGACTGTTGAGTCTGGATGTTGACTTCAGTGTCCACTTTATATTACATATTGCTCCATCCCGATATTGAGCACTTTAACCCATTAATATATAACTTAAAACTATATTTTATCATATATATATATATATATATATATATATATATATATATCTGAAGAAATATAGTCTTATGGTCTGCTATATTTATGGGATAAAGTGCTCGATATCAGAGATAGAGCGTGTAATAAATATAAAAGTGAACATACAGTCTGTTTCATTAGATATGACAGTCTGTTTCATGCTATATGCAATCGTCAGGCCTTGCATATAGCATGAAACAGACTGTTGCCTCATGTTGACTTTATGTTCACTTTTTATATATATATATATATATATATATATATATATATATATATATATATATATATATATATATATATATATAAACATTTTATAGCAGAATGACCATTTCATCTGTAGAATTGAAGGCATACATCTGCATTCAAAATATTTAGTTGAAGCCATAAAACTGTCCAAAATATTTACATTTCAGTATTAAATGACCCATAAGGAGTTGATGTGCCGGTGAACAAATCAAATCAAATTACTGTCTGGCTTTTTTTTTTTTTTACATTTCTTTTAAATTTGATTTTGTTAAGATAGACACCTATTTTTTGTAATGTGAAACCTAATGGCGGTTCTGAACGATAAGGTAACAGATCCGGACCCTTGACATAGAGCAACAGTTACCAAGTTACTTTCATAGATCAAGACGATTCCGATTTTTTTTTGGAGGGGGGGATACACCGCGACTGTCGCATTGTATTAGACCAAATTTATTTCTGTTGCTTCAACTATCTTCTTCATCTTTGTTGGGATTGTTTAAGCATCTTCTGCTCTCTCAGTGCACCATACAGAAGGTCCGACATTACGTCACAGTTCAGTACACATTTCTTTGTTTCTAAAGAAATTTTCCTGTTTCAAAATACTTTTGCTTAGCCTTTGGAAGGAATCTATTCCAATATGCTTTCGTGTTACGTATCTCGCTTTAAAATCTACTTAATATGAGAGATCGTTAGATAGATCTTCTCTATGTAGTAATTAGAATGAGAACTGTTTTTAATAGATACTACGTTTTTAGATAGATAGATAGATAGATAGATAGATAGATAGATAGAAAGAACGCAGACTAAGATATGGATATAATGGTTGGGATATATATGAATAGACATATGAATAGAAATTTATTAATTGGTCTTGCGATTTTTTAATGCTTTGGAAATGAATACAAGCTTTGTCGCACAAAATATAAGCTGATGTAGTTTTTTTTCAATTCTGAATTCTCTGTTATAGCGGCCATGTGCCGAATAAATGTAACCTTAAATTATAACTATACTAGCTAAGGTACCCTGCGATGCCCGGATGTATATGGCTGCAATTGTATAACCGCACTCCGCTATCTAGAAATGTCTGCCTGCACCCGCGCTTGCATGCATCATCCGTTGGTATACTAAGCTTCCCCCCACTCTCATCATTTTACGGTATTTCATTCGCAAGTGCTTGATTGTTCTTAATAAAGGAATTCCATCGATAAAACCTTCTTGTGTGGTCGTTCTTCAAGGTTAAATTTTTTTCAATGTTTTAGATATTCAGTAAATTTCCTAACTTTCAAATAGTATGGCATTGTTCACAAATCTAATAATCAAATAAAAACAGGGATGAAGGGTCAGAGCTTTATTTAACTGCAAGTACAAACGCATGAATGACCCCTCCTTCTTCACACGTTTACTGTAAAGCTGGGGTTAATAAGAGGTTCTTTGGTAATATTTCCCTTTTAACGCTTCAATAATCCTTCTCAATCTTTGCATCAAAGCTTGTTCAAATTCTAATTTAGAATGAAATCATATGAAGGAAGCCGATTTTGGATCTAGTTTTTCGCAGATTTCGTCCACTTAACTTAAAAATCTAAACCAAACATTCGTGCAAAACAATTTGTGTGTCATACGTAATTTACGTAGCGAATTTGGAAAGCATCGGATGAAAAAGAGAGTTGCGATCGAAAAACGGGTTTTTTGAATAGTTTTTCGTGGTTTTTCGTTATTCGCGGGGAAGCGAGACTAAAAACACACATGAGCTGTTATTGAATTTAATGCAAAGAACATCGGCTCATCCAGTAAAAATTTTGTTCGCGTGTAACTTGGCCTTGGTTTTTACAAAAATCCGTAACCATCTTCAGTTTTATGGATTTTTCTGCCAACCCCGGGGCTGCAGATTGAAACGTTGGTCTTGACCAAAATTTGTAAATTTGCAATATATGAGTACAATTTCATCGAAATTGGTCGAGAAATATGGACGTGCATAAATAGCATACACACACACGCCTTCTATTTTATAGATATAGATTTCAGGAAGTTTTATTAAAACAGACTAAATGTAAAGGTCATAAGTAGGATTGAACGCAGATCGCTAAGTGTTATGGAAAACAAATAACCCGTTTGGCCACCTAACAGGCTACAAATGAAATCTTATATCAAATCGAAAGTTATTGACATTTTAACTATCAACTAATTCACTAAGAAGGATGCGATCATTATCTCAAAATTACTTATATAAAATCATTTATCTTTTTTAATCACAAACTGAAAATGATTTCGTCAGAATTTCTGACTGATGTTTAAGCATTCACAGACGATTTAATTTAAGACATTACAGGAAATAAATTATGCATATAACCATAAACATATACTTGACAACTGGGTTCATTCTTAGGGATAAAACGTGTTTCAGAAGACTATCTAATGCTCGGATGAACCTCAGTGGTCTATGGTGCAGGCTTCAAATCTGTAGCTGAGTAACGTCATAGGGGTTCGATTCCACCTTCCGGCCATTCGATTTTCTTTTTCGTTTTAAAATTAAAATACATAGCAACCATACCCAGCTGGTCGATCAGAAAAAAACGTTCAATTAGAATGGAGCAAAAACAGCAACATGTTTAGATGTAACAGAATTAATATTCTTCAATTACTTTAAAGTAATTTCATTAAAAAAACATTTTGAATTAATGCAGTTACTAATATAACAGAAGTAGTCTGTATTTATTCAATCGAAGTTAGCCGAGGACATGAAGGGGTAAAACAGGTAACATGAAGACCTACCTCAGACCACATTTATTTTGGAGGTTTTGAAATTTAATTTGTCACTGTGCTACCAGGGATGTAAAAGTGGATACATTTATAAAGCAATTAAGTTTGGTGAAAATTGGTTGAAAGATCAACGAAAAATAAGAAAGAAACGAGTAAAATTCGCTATTTACGCGGGTTTTCACTATAAGGGTGAACTCAGTCATTAAGTTAAATGGCTATTAAACAATCAACTTATTGTTGGCTACAATTGAGCGAAGTTTGTATTAGATGGCTTGAAAATTGAGGGAGTTTTTAGCTTAAAATTTGTGTTTCTCGCGATTTTTCGCTAAATGCAGTGGTGCAGAAATAAAAATGAGGTATCGTTGAGCTCGTCTTGATGTAAGTAACCTATATACCGAGTTGGAACGAAATCGGACGAAAAAAGTTGAATTTATCGATTTTGTTCGGCTTTATCAATTATTGATTTTTTTAAATTATCATTTTTTTACGCTAAAAGCCTGTCTTTAACATGGTACAATGTATGTGCCAAGTTTGGTCAAAATCGCTTGGACGGATCCCGAGTGAAAAGGTATCACACAGACAGACAGGCACACAGACACGCAGACATCTTCTGTTTTATATAGAGAAATTGGAGTCTATTTCATGGCTTGGTTAGATGAGAAATTCCCATTGGTAACTAAGGGCGGGCGTTCGAGCCCAGATTAAGAGGCAAAGTTATATTTCATTTTCTTCTATGTACCGTGTCCCTTCAGGACGTTGGTGATCACTGCTCTCTATAATTTCCTATTCTTTATAGCTCTTATGAAATTTTGTTGTTTTGCTATCTCTCCTAACCCCAGTTCAGCCATCCATTTAGATAACATCGTTAGGTTGATTACACTCTTTTTTCCTCTGCCCCTCTTTACTTCAATATGTCCTGTGAGTGTCAAATTCTCCAAACCCTCTTTCTCCATTATGTGCCTTATGAATTTCAACAGCCTCTTTCTGATGTTAAATATAAGTGTTTCCATTTTCACTAAAACTTCGTCGGTCTATAGTATTCTCAGCATCCTTCCGTAGAAGCATATTTCTGTTGCTTCAAGTATCTTCTTCATCTGCGATGGGATTGTTCAGGCATGTTCCGCTCCCCAATGCTCTATACAGGAGGACTGGTATGACATTGCAGTTCAGTACACTTTTCTTTGTTTTGTAAGGAAATTTCCCTGTTTTCAAAATGCTTTTGCTTAGCTTTTAGAAGGTATTTATTCCAACGTGCCTTCGATTTACGCGTGGCTCTTTAAAATCTACTTAATATGAGAGATCGTTAGATAGATCTTCTCTATGTGGTGAATAGAATGAGAACCGTGTTAAATGCCATAGTACGTTTTTTTTAATAGATAGATAGATAGATAGATAGATAGATAGATAGATAGATAGATAGATATTGCTGCCATATATGGTCTGGTGCCCCTTCTGTTTGCCTCGGGGTTCTTGATAGGCTCCAGAGGCGGATATGCAATGTAGTTGGCCCTGCCCTGGTGTCTTGTCTACAGTCACTTTCTCACAGACGCGCCGTCGCCTCCCTCTGTCTGTTTTACAAATACTTTCATGGCAATTGCTCCAAGGAGCTGCATTCGCTGGTTCCCAGACTTCATGAGTTAAAGCGCCCTACGAGGCTGGCATCCCACTCTCACCCCTTCACTGTCGAAACTCCTAAATGTAGCCGTCTCTTCTACTCCAATAGCTTCATGTCTCGCACCTCTCGCCTGTGGATCTCCTTTCCCTATTCGTGTTTCCCTGTGAGCTATAATCTCCAGCTATTCAAGCGTAATGTCAATCGACATCTCCAGTTGCCTTGATCTATCCACTACCCTCATCCTTTCTTCTATCACTCCTATCTGATCTTGCTCTAAATTTTCTGTAACCCCTTGCGTCCTAGTGGCTTCCCGCCTTGCTTGGGGTAAAACGCTTAAAAAAAAAAAAAAAAAAAAAAGATAGATAGATAGATAGACAGATAGATAGATAGATAGATAGATAGATAGATAGATACGATGCAGACTGAGATTTGGATATGATGGTTGACACAGATATGAAGAGACGAATATAAATAGATAGATAGATAGATAGATAGATAGATAGATAGATAGATACGGTGCAGACTGTGATATGGATATGTTGGTCGATATGGATATGAAGAGACGTGTATAGATAGATAGATAAATAGATAGATGGACAGGCAGGCAAAGAAATACGCACTTTTTTCATTTGTTGTCGGGCAGACCCTGCTTTAATTAAGCGACATCGAATACCGCAGCACACTCTTTCTCAACCGGAAAAGAAAAGCCGCCATCGTATTTTTATTCTCTCCTGAGATGGAAGAGTTCCAGACATGCTGTCTGTTACATTCTACCAGCTCAAAAGTACAGACGTATACTGTTGTCTTGGTAACTGTTGGCCTCGACAGCTGCTCTTTTCCCGGGAATGTAAACGTATGTTGTGTGTGTGTGTGGGGACAAACGCAGAAAAGGAAATCAATAATTCTGCTTCTCATCCACAACCGGAAGTGCAGCAACACCGTCCATTTCAGTCTTTTTTTCTCCCTCGACTGATTAAAGAGCTCCGGCTTAACTCCTATAAGCGGAAGAACGCTTAGAGCTGAGTGTTGCCCCTGGCAATGCTGTTGTTGCTATCGCCGCTACTGCTACCATATGACTCAGTTGCAAAGGGCCCGATCCTGGAATTGCTTGTCATGCAGAAGGCGCAAGCAAATGCCGAGATCTGTTGCTGCTTGTTAATAAGTTCTAGTATTGTATCAGAACCCCCCCCCCCCGGGAGATCAAGTGTCCACGCCTTCTCGTTCTCACCTTTAACAGTTTGAAATTTTATCCCACTAACCTACTCCAAAGTTTCACGTCACAACCCCTATCAGTATCAGAGGGTCCGATAATTCTATTCAATTATTAGTAGGTATCATATTTATACCCCAGAAAACGAACGTTGATTGTACAGTGTAACCCGGATATAAGAGAGTTGTCGGGACCGGAGACGAAGTCTCTTATATCCGGGTTTCTCTTATATCCGGGTTTGGTCTAATTTATATACATTAACACAGGCTCTAATTTCGGACCAGAGAAAATCTCTCTTATATCCGCGTGTCTCTTATATCCGGGTTACACTGTAATCAACAAAATATGAAACAGACATCACGCTCAAGTCCGTTAACATGTAAATATTTAAAAGCAATTAAAATGTTCGATATTTTAAAGTTCATTTTTAATTTTTATTTATTTATTTGTTATATTTTTATAATTTTTTTTATTTATATTTATTTTTATTTTATTTATTTATTTGTAATTTTTTTTTTTTTTTGCAGTAAGGTTCACTCAGTACAAATCCCAGAGGCCACTCAAGGTAGAAGTTTACGTTAAGTGGTAGTTTATATGGATAGGAGAAAAAAATAACGGTTAACTCGAGACATGAACAAGTTCAGATTGTAGTGATCGGTGTTTGGTTGGGTTTGTTTTACCAACCTCAGTGGGTTATTTAATTTTTATTGCTGGTTATATTTTTTGTCATAAATGTATAGCTGGTAATTTTTTTTTTTTTTTTTTTTGCAAAAATGTATTGCTAGTAAATATTTTCCAAAAATATACTGCTGGTAATATTTTTTTATACTTTCATAGTGTTTCGACCCCAATTTGGGGGTTAACTATTTACCCATAGCTGGGACTCTACCAGGTGCTACCACCCCGGGTCAGGGTGAACCTGGCAACACCAGCAATTAAGAGATGGTTTCACGCTCCTCAAAACCTTCTGATCAGAGGCCTTGCTGCTGGACGTAGTTTATCGTCTTACCCAGGATGCAGATGTAATTCATCGTCATACGAAGGACGGAGTGATCGGGGAAATATTCTCTTGGGAGTCGGTTCCACAAAGCAGTGGTTCGCGGGAAGAAGCTGTTCGAGTGGAACTTACTTCTAACTGATTGAATACAGACCGAATGTGGATGGTTTGCTACACGGTAAGTGCTATGGTGGGGCCTAGCCGTGAATGTTAAACCTGGCGGTAACAAAGGATTGTAGTTCGCCCCAGTACTTTCCATGTAAGTAGCGATAAGACAGTGAGAAGCTCGCCACACCCCACCAATGAGAGGGAGGTTGGAGTCTGGAAAATAATTCTTCTCCAAGAAGGACGCAGAAAAGGTTTTGAACTCTATCAAGACTGGAAAGTGATAGCTGGGCAACTCCCGCCCAAATATAGCAGCAGTACTTCATTTTCGGCTTGATCTGACTCTTGTAAAAACAAGATAAAAGCGTTGGTTGAAGTAATAAAGTGACTTGACTCAAAGAGTTATGAGTTCAATACCTTGCCACAGCAGAGGTAAAAAAAAAAAAACTTGGATAGTTGAGTTACTAAAGAGAGATAACTGAAACTGAGATATCCAGAAAAGGCATGGCATGTGGAACTAGAACAATCTACCCCGTGGACGAAATTAAGAGTTCACCTGAAGAAGGCAGAAGCGTACATCGACTGAAACGTCGATAGTGTGACAGTACTGATGAAGACAATAGTCCGAACAATGTAAATAGTGTAAATACTTACAATATATCATCTCAGAAATATAGACAAAAATTCTCTTTTAATATTTAATCAGAGAACTCAATCCAAGTCAAAAGATCAGATAAATTCTTTGTTGTTCTAGCTTGACTGAAAGGGAAAAGTGTTATGGACCAGGATAGGACCAAGGAAGAACAACACGAACACAAGAGTAGAAATAAGGAAGGTATATTACACGAAATAATAATACAAGATGTGGAAGGTGTTAGTATGACTGTCAGTCTGGTTTGGAGTGAACTACTATCGGCTCGACTCGATTCGATATTTACTTCCCCCCTTCACGAGGGAAAGATGTTTTACGTGGGTTTTCCGAGCCCGTAGGCTCAGCCAAAAAATGCCCGTAGAACCCGTATAAACGGGATCCCAGGTTGGTCAACCTCCCGAACGAGAGACTCCCCGAACGAGATCTAGCCCCGCCCACGAGGGTTGCATGTGGCACAAGCCGAGAGTTTAACGTGGGTTTCCCAGGCCCGTAGGCTCGGCAAAAAATGCCCGTAGCCCCAACCTCCCTGAACGAGACTCGTCGGCGGAGCCTCGTCCGTTCCTCTCTGCTCAGAGGCAGAGAGTTCGACCGTCAAGCCGAGAAGCGTAGTATACATAGTGTTAGGAAGAGTTCATTCTGTAGTTATAGGTAAGGACCCATGACAAAAAGCCGGAAAAATATGACAATATTGTGATGGCACTGAAAAAAATCAATAAAAAAAAGAAGTGACAGTAGCCTAAGTTCTGTGTTTTTTGCCACGTCATCCTGGTGTCAATTTGAATTGAGGCTTTCTTATGTTCGTATCTTCTTGAAAGTTATGTGATACATTTCAGTGCAGTATTGACTTTCCAAAATTATATATTCGGGCATTTATAAAGCAATTACGTATTTCACAGCTATGAATTATGAGTCAACCAACAAATGCAGAAACGATGTTGAATTAAAGTCTGACACCGTTTGTGGAAACATGGATTCGTTGCTTTGCTGCTCAGGCGCAGACCAATAAGTTAAAAGACCACAAAGTTGGAGGAGGGGAGATCTTCTACGTCACAGAGAGTAAGCCATCACGACAGGCAGAAAAATGCGTCTAGGTTTAGCTTATCAACAGTGTGCCGTTTATAGCAAATTTCATTAGGAAAACGTATAATGAGTGCATTTTTTTGTTCCTTATGAACACAATATTCCACTATCTGCAGCAGACTTTTATTAATGCATCGTGAGATTAAATATAATGTTTCCAATAGTCAAAATACTTTGCAGTTTTTCAAAAACTAATTTAAATTGACTGGAAGGATTTTTTTTTCTTTTTTCAAAATATCCGATCAGCGGTCTCTTCTAGCCGTCTTTCATCACAATGTAATTTTCTTTATTAAAAATAATCTTCCAAGAATAAGATATTCTTTTCTGAAACTTTATCTGAGGAATAGTTGATTTAAAGTTAATTAATCTGATTTGAAACAAATATTATTTATTTTAAGTTTAAAATAACAAAGAAATGCACTTTCTAACCAGACAGTTGGCTGTGTTTTTAACCTGACAGTAGCTGTTTTGATGTGTTGTCAGCCTGATGAAAGGTCTAATGTTTTTCTACGAAGACTTTATCTGGAAAATATAATTGAAGAAAATGAGTTGAGCGCCGTTTTTATATAATTTTTAAGTATTCCGTAATCTTAAAAGTTTAGGAAAATATTCTCCGTAATCTATTTTTTTTATTGAATTTTGGAAATGTTGACTTTAAATTTATTATCATTATCGCTCTTATTTTCTGATAATGTTGTATTGACAAAAATCGGCAAGTTTATGCACAAAAAATTCAAAAATGTTGCTGTTTGATGATTTGCATTAAGCTTTTCCATTTATATAAATATAGTAAATATAATTTTCAATTAATAATATCTAAAAGCCTTAAATTAATACAGAATTTTAAAAGATTTAAAACTTAATAAAATTTTCTAATTCAAATTTTGAAAAAATGAAAACAATTCTTGTAAAAATTCATTATTCATCGAAATTCATAATAGTGTCTTTAATATATCTTATTTATAAAAGCAATTAACAAATTTCCTAATTAAATAATTTATTAGTTTTATTTCATTTTTTTATTTTACATCTAAATAAAATAAATAAACTTAAATTATGATATATTTAAACATATTTAATTTAATCATTTTAAAGCAAAACTATAGCGAGCCTTACTTTTTCGAAAAATAATTATTTACTATTTATTTTGAAGGAGAATTTAGATTTTTTCAAGTAAATACAGTTTTACTTTTAAATATTACATTATAGAAGCAAACATTTCTCCGTAACTGAATTTAGTTACTATTTTGAAAGAAAGTAGAAGAAAGAAAGTAGAATACATTGAGAATTTAGTTTTGAACATGGAGTATGTTTAAATTTCAAGTTATATTTGTATTTTAAAAAAAAAAAACTTTAGTTAAATAAAAATTAGGAGAGACTGAGATGAGGTACGGTCAACGTATTGAATGCTAGCAGTAGAGCCCGGCGTTGCCCGGGGATGTAACACTAAGAGATAGATCAAGTATCGACAATCATGAAGACTGAAAAATAAAATTGACAAAGATTATTGTTTAAGGTTGACGGACACGCATGTCTTAATTAGTTTTTTTGTTGTTGTTTTTTTTTTGTTTTGTTTTTTTTACGA